AGGCTCAGCTGGATCAGCAGGGGAGAAGCATCCCCACTCAGAGCTCTCACAAAGGCACGAGCGGCGCCGGTGCCGCTGCAGAGCGGGACTCCGCAGACTGCCAGCACAACTGGCCCTGCTTGTCTTCTACAAACCTCACTTTTTCAACATGCTGAGCACAGGAAACCCTTCAGTGGCTGTATTACCAACCTCCTCATTCTTTTTCTGCACAGCCCTAAGAACATGGCAAAAATAAACTGAGGCTTCCATTGACCTGTTGAAAAGCAAAGGAAAAGCTTGTGCATGGCATCTAAAGCAAAGCTCATTTTACACTTCTCAGGCACTGATACACAAAGTGCAAACCCCTGCATTCCCTGATGGAAATACAGGGTCTCCAGGGTCACCTTATAGCACTTTACAGTATCTAAAGGAGCCAGAAGAGAGCTGGAGAGGGATTCTTACAAGGGCATAGAATAACAGGACAAGAAACGGTGGTTCCAAACTGATAGAGGACAGGCTTAGATTAGATATAAGGAAGAAATTCTTCCCTTTGAGGGTGGTGAGGCCCTGGCACAGGTTATCCAGAGAGGTTGTGGCTGCCCCAATCCCTGGAAGTATTAAAGGACAGGCTGGATGGGGCTTTGAGTATCCTGGTCCAGTGGAAGGTGTCCCTGCCCATGGCAGGAGAGTTGGGATTAAATGAGCTTTATAGTCCCTTCCTACCCAAATAATTCCACGGCATTTCCTCAGTAAAAATAAAAATACCAGCTGTCTTCCACATGCACAAAACCCCACATTTTTCTTTGTTGCTTGTAGGTTATTGATTTTCAATTGTTCAAGAACATGTGAATCCGTAAGACTTCAACTCTAACCGCCCTGCATGTGTTTTTATGTTACAGAGCAGTTTCAGGCAGCAAAATGTCAAAATAAACAAGATAAACAGGTAACTGTGACAAGTTTTCCCAAGGGTAGAAAAACATTAGCAGCACCTGCTGCGTTTTCCATCTGTTCTGAAGTACCCAGGAGGAAAAAACCCAGAACTTTTGTGTAGCAAATAATTTGAAATGTATGACTGGCCTTGATTCCTCTAGGAAAACACAGGCTATGTCAAAAAATAAATAATCATACATATACACATTTCTATACAATGAGGAAAGCAGTATAAGGTCTACTCTAGAATCCAAAGGGCTTCAAGTCAAAGTACAGTTCTTTTTCCTTCACTTGTCTATTCCCCTCTTTCAGTGGTGGCCTACAGGGAAGGGATGATCCTGGGAGGGAAGGAAATTCCTGGTCTAGGAGACATCAGAAGAGTCTCACATGGAATCAATTGCCCTCAAGGTTTGCAGACAAAGGCCCAGCTACCACTTCATGCATGGCTTGGTTATGACTAACCCAAGCAGGGTTTAACCTGTGTCATTGCCTAAGCATTTGATGTTTCTCACACCCCCCAGGCAGGGTTAGGTGTATGGGGCTTGGTGTCACCAGCTCAGCCAGGAGCACAGCAGCTCTGTGAGGACAGGTGGGCTGGGAGGGGCACAGGCAGGGCAGGGAGAAGGACAGGTCCTGTGTGTGACCAACACCCCCGGGGCTTGGTGTCACCAGCTCAGCCAGGAGCACAGCAGCTCTGTGAGGACAGGTGGGCTGGGAGGGGCACGGGCAGGTCCTGTGTGTGACCAACACCCCTTGTCACCACTTTAATTGCTGCATCACCACCAGCAGGGCAGAGAAAGCCACAGGCTACGAGGACAGAGCTGCTCTGTTTCCCACAGTAGATGTCTTCTTTCTGGAACATCTTTTGACTTTCCCATGAAGAGCATTGTGCCAAGGAAGCAATCCTCCCACCCTCAGCAGAACTGCCCTCTCCTGCCTCAGTGAGATGTCCCTCCTGTCCCACCAGACCCCACTGGAACAGGACATGGTCCCAGTTTTGCACCACCTCGGGGTGCTGGAGCCCTGTAGGGCCCTGGGGCTGGCACAGCAGCCACAGCACAGCAGCAGCCTCCTCTTCCAGCCATACACTGCCTGGGAAAGCAGAGCCTCTCCCCAGGGGGATTTAAGCCCTTGAGGGCTCCACTCAGTCCAGGGGCAGCTCATAAGCCCCATCCTATCCCTGCCTGGCCAAGCCTTGCCCAGGTTGCCATTCCTACAGCTTGGGGCTCCCTAGAGCCAGACACAAACCAAAAGAAAATTGTCCTTTGGGAGTACTTGTAAATAAAATGAAGTGGTTACTGTCAACAAAATCATAGCTGGGGAGGGAAAGAAGAAAGACCAAAAGTAAAATCGTACTAAAATACCAATACATGTGTTCATTTAATAGTTTCTGAAGTGTGCTCTGGTTATCTCTAGTTTTCCTTACTATATTGACTGTTTCTCTGCAGCAGACACCCATTCCCTGCCACCTGTGTGTCTCTGTGCCATAAAAATCCTTGGGCCTTTTTAATATTATGGGGTTTCTTAACCTCATTGTCCTGGCCAGGTCCCAGTTTAGTACAATCCCTTCAAATATTTCTCTTATTTCAACCAGAAATGTCTATTACAATTACTTCCTGCAAATTGTTTTGGAGCTTTTTCCACACACTTTTTTTTTAAAAAATTGCAAAACAGCTGTCACTTTTCAGCCAGACGATAGTTGTGTTTTGATGCCACATTAAACCTCTATCCTACGCACTTATCAAAACCAGTGGAAACCTACCTTGAGGCAAACAACCTGCTTACAGTTGAGAAAACAATTTTGCATCCTATTTCCAGGGAAATTCAGAAATCTTGCTTGCAGGAGAAGCACAATGATGAAGGAAGGACATACCAGTTTATTAAATGTGCTACGTATAAAATATTCCACATACAAAATAAATTATGTGCTTCAACTGGACAGACATAAAATGGTTTGACAGCTCAAGTCTATTTAAAAGGTAATCTAAGCAAGCCATGACTGTACAGACATTGCACCTAATCTAAAAGACATTAAAGTTTCCCTGATCTCTTAGAAGCAGTCACTTGAGTTAAAAACCTTATCAGGAGATGATGCTTGGAAGAAAATATAGAAACATATTTCAGTTAATGGTTCAGACCCACCTTGTTTGCTCTGGAAACCAACCCTGTACTGTAAATTCTATCTCTGCTGTACAGTACTTATAGCCCATGAATAATGGATATTATAAACAAGCACTTGAAAATGAAAATTCAGTTAACAATATTATGGAGCTTCCATTCACAAGAGTAGTTCATGAGTGATATGAATTTTATGGTTCTTATCACCAATGAAAAAAATTTGCATATCCCATCACAGAGTTCTTAAGAGAACCTATTCTGCATTTCTTATCTCAAGGTTTTTGTGGTAAGAAGTATTGCATTAAGTCCAGTGATTTACATTTTTTCAATAAAATTCTAAACACTTATGCAGTAGCTCTTTACTGACTGGTTTCATGTTATAAATTATAAGCTTGGAGGTAAATACATTAGGACAAATATTGATTTCTAAATAGTCACTATGAGTGAGATTTTATCCTGGTATTAAATTACCACACTTCTTGCATTTTATATCTGTCTTATCTCCCAGTTGCTATACTTTGTGACAGGTAAGTAAATAAATAACACTGCCTTACTTCTGCCAGTTCAATTCAATCTGTTCCACATGCTAGAAACAGCAGGTACAAGTCCATGAAAGGACTCTCTGCACAGAGAGACATTTTGAGATTTGCCACTATCATAAACACTGCTTTCTGCTTGTCACACCACCAAGCACTGCAGGCTTCACTGTGGAAGCAGCAGGTGAAGTCTGTTGGAAGAGATTAGGGAAAAAAGTAACACTACTGCTTGGGGATGTAATTGAATGAATAGTCCTTGTTCATTCAACATTGTCTGCTCCATGGCTTTTTCAGCAATTCTTTGGTTTAATGGATGTTCTTTGTTTTACTGGAAAAATCTCAGGCTCTAGCACCTTAACACCATGGCTACATGTGACTTCTGGAGCTCAGGTTGCAGTTACAATTGGACCTCTCCATACTCCCATATTCACTACTTCACAACCAGCAGAGACTCCCCCAGAACAGCTCCAGTCAAGTCAGCACAGGAATATAATCACTGCAACCTGTGGGTAAAACCTATTGGCTGAAGAACTGAATAAGTGCAGCAAAACCCGCCCCAAAACAGTGGTGGGAAAATGTCATCACATTGCAAAAGTTCCATACTGTTGTCTCCTTATCATAAAGGCTTCATACCTTCTTGGTGTTTTCTCATGGGCAGCTCCTCAGAACACTGACTCTTTCCTCCTCAGAATAACCAACTGACTCCAATTCCCCTCTTAACTGCCCAACCCACTCTTTTATAGCACTCTTCTTCTCACTGGTCACACCTGTGGCCTGTTAAACCTGGCCTGTTCCTAATCTTTGGTAATTGGCCCAGCTGCAGCTCCTTAGGATGAAATTACTTTCTGCACTATCTTTATTTTCTTGTTTTCTATCCCCCCCACAGGAAAAGAGCACAAATAGAACATCTTGGATACAGCATCCTCACAAAGCTGTGATGGAGACCAAGTGTGTGTCAGCCCTCACTGTGCCATCCCTTCCCTACAATCCAACACCACCTTGTGCCCTGATTTTGCAACCACCCTGGCTCCCAGACCCTCCTGTTCACAGGTCAGCTGTGCTGTCCTTCCCAGGAAAGAGCAAGGGAAGGGATACAACAAACTGCTTCCAGAGCAGCCCCTGACAGACACAAGCATAGGCATGGATAGGGACAGGAAAGGCAAAGGACATTGAAGAGGCACACAGTGAGGAGACCAATGGCTGTATGGAGAAAGTTTCCTCCCGGATGAGGAAGGCCAGAGTGCATCAGGCAGCTGGCTCACAGGCAAGTGGAAGAAAACGTGTGGATCCAAGGAGATGTCTCAGATGCCATGGGTCATTCACCTCCAGGTCCAAGCTGGGCTGCTGAGATATGTGTGAACTCAAGCATGTTTGTCAATTTAATCTGCTTTCTGGGAGTCAACAAAACTCAAGCTGATGTTCCAAGTATTTATTAAAAAGTAACTGCTAGTGGAGAAAAAAAAATCAGTAAGTAGTCCAATAGTAGATTTATTACATTTTTAACAGGTAAAGGGAATTGATCTATTTTATGAACAAAAATGTCAATAGGAAAGTATATTGAAGGATTCTCAATTAAACATTAAAATGGAAACAGCATATGCAATACACATTTATATATAAATATATATTGGTTACATTCTTCTTAAATTGATGAAACAACATTCATTAGCAACATCCAAAAATATTTCTTTGTGGAAAGAGATTCATCTTTCTTCACAGCAATACTGCTTCTCCATAAGTTTCCACTACAACAGTTTTAGAGCTTGGGACTAGAATAGGTATTTGACACACCATATCAAACCCAGAGCACGTGATTTGAAAGCAGTTTACATGAGATCTCAATGAGACTTAAGGCCAGATAAGCAACAGGTGGAACTGGCAGAATGTGATTAAAATTGTGGGATCTCAATGAAATCTCAAATTTGGACTAAAGCTAGATTCCCATAGGGAAACTGTGACACTGCTCAGCATTCTCAGCTAAAACACACTTCCCTTTTTCTGTAAACAAGTGCTAACAAAAATAAACTCTCTGTACCCTGTTAACCATTTCCTAACATAAAAATAAGGAGCTGCTTGGGTAGTTTAATAAGTCAGTATAAAACTCCATCCTATCCTAAGCGCTGCCTCTCTCAAAGTGCTAACAAATGGCACAGTGTTTCCTGTTTGAGGCTACATCCCCTGCTTTCCATGGTTCATATTGCAAACCTCAGCTCCAGCAGGGCTGAGCCCAAGCCTCCAACCATGGTGGGTGGATCAGCCCAGCCCTGGGCTCCTCCCTGGGACAGCCAGAGCCCTTCTGAACAGGGCGTGCCAGGGCAGTGCTCCCTGTGCTCCAGAGCCACCCCCAGCCTGCGGGCCCTGCGCTGCAGGGAGCTGCTCAGACCCAGCCCAGCACAGCAGGTACTTTGCCTGTCCCTGCAGAGATCTGGGCAGCAGCTGGGCTCAGACCCTGTGGCAGAAGACAAGCAGGTCATTTTGCATAGTTTGGTTGAGTGGTGACTCTGTGAGCCCTGGGGAGATGCCCTATCCTGCTCCTGCTGCTCCCACTCCTGCCAGGTGTACAAGGGACTCTCACAGCTTGCCTATTCAGGACCTCTTTGGACTTGGTTTGGTTCAAATACTTGCTGGCTGTTAACTTTGGAGCCTGAATAAGAAATAGTGCAAATACAAGCATAAAGAATAAAATAATAATAAAAAAAACCCAAATGACCTCCACTGAACATTCAGTTAAAAAGACAAGAATCCATAAGATGAAACCCCAGCTTTGGGGTATTTGAGATATTTGGCAAGCTTGCACAAGATTCTTCACAATTGTCTTAAAGCAGTATATTTCATTTGGCACTAGATGCTTCAAATTATTTGCTAATGTGATTCTAACTAACACTGTTGTGGCTAATTGCAAATGACTTTGAAGACTAGTCATGGAACACGGGACATCTCCCAGGCGTGATGGGACAAACACTCCCTGCAGTTATGTGCCCTCAGTGCTTTTCTTATCCAAGTTTAACTCAAAATGATTTTGCTTGCATGGAATGGTGTGAATTCATCCAGGGTGGTTTTTCTGGAAGGCGAACAGACAACAGTTATTTCTGAGGGTCAAAATACCTTTATTTGGCCATGCTGAGGCAGATTAAGAGGCCAAAACAAAACTCAGTTTGATTCCTATTATGGGAGGCTGGCTGCAGTGCATTTTAAAACAACATTCATCTGAAGTGGCTGAGATGCTCAAGTTTGAAACTTCCTAAGTGCCAGGGCACCCTATAAATGCAGGGCCCCCCTGTTACTGCAGTGACCTTCACCACATGGCAGCAGCAGAGACACTCAGTCCTCATGGAGGTAACACGGCATGCAGAGTTCCTTGGCCCACTTCAGAAAGAGCCTTAATTTCTCTCAATTCCTCTTCCCAAAAAAAATCAGCAGGAGGGACATTCAGCAGCAAGTTGGTTTCAGAAAGCAGTGCACAAATGGCTTACTATTTTCACTAAGGATTAGGCACACTGCCTGCTCAGGCTTCGGGGAAATCCTACGTACCTCCATCTCCGGGCACCTACAAAGTCTGGTCTCAGTCTTTCAGGGCTCAGTGCTGGGAACTAGTCCTGCTTTGACTAGAACCAAAGAGTGAAGACTGCAGTCCTGGACCAGGGGCTGCCTCGTTAGACCCCCAGGGCTCAGACCTGCCCCTCTCTCTGCTGTGCCCCTCAGCACACCAGCATCAAGGCAGAGGCACTAACCTGAAGGTAGAGTTGCACCAGGGGAGTCTTACCTGTTGATTTTATGGGATTGCTTCAAAGCAGGATCCACATTTAAAGCCATAAAGAGATGAATTCACAATGAAGCTAAGGAAAAAAAGAAGTCATATCTACAGACAGCTGCCATCACACACACACACACCCCTTTCATACTCCATTAAAGAAACAGCCTTATCTTTGCCCATGTGTTTATGTCTAATGTGATACTGGCCTCCCCAGAACTTCATGACATTGTTTCCAATGATACAAATAGCACAGTCCAGGCTTAAACAGAACTGATGCATAATTATGCTTAAGTAGCTTTCGTCTCCCCACTCTGTGAGTTAATTACAGTTCTGTATGTCAATAAAATGGGAAAAAAAAATCTTCACTTTTTCTCCCGTCAGCAAATTCATGTTCTGTGATGGGCAAAAGGAGGGATTTTGGTAAAAACACTGCCTTCCCCTTCTGCCTTTTTCTGCAAGTGTAAATGTTACTGGAACCTAAAAGTTGCAATCTGCGTTACACAGATGGGACTCTGCTATGTTCATCTTTTTTATTGTGATGTTCATGTAGCAGTGACTTTTGAAAGATGTTAGAAATGACTGCTGGCCATGACAGGATACTGCCTAAATTAGAATCAGGCTCCAAGTATCTTCCTTCAATTAGATTATGTCATATGTCATATACTTACTCATGGCCTGGGAAGGAGAGTGCAAGGGTACTTAATGTCTGTAGATACTCAATTAAAATGAGTGCATCAGACACACACTGGTCTGGCTTCTGCCTGCCTCACATCTAGCCCAGGCTAGCTCCTAAACCTGAAGAGGAAACAAAAAGGAAAACACACACCATGCCCATACATACACCTGCTGGCTAATACAGTTACCTATCTATAATGTAAAAAGCCATGCAGTTTACATTTTGTTTGATACAGTTCAGGTTAAGTTAATGCTAGAAAAATAGAACTCAGAGGGAGGGGAGAAACGTTTGTGTATAATAAATGGAAATTTTGCTGTCTCTTGATGGTTGCATTTCAAGCATAACTGCATTTCTCCATGCACTCTGAACGCTTCCCTTTTCGGGTATTGGCATGCTTGTGGCAAAAGCAACCAAACTGATTAATTAGGCACACAGTGAAAGATGACATATAAAAAAAAAATCTGTCATTTCCATTCTGAAAATTCTTATTCAAAGCCTTTATGTCACAGCAATAAGCTAAGCATGAAAGGTTGCAGAATCCTTCCTTGCATGAGGGCAAAACCAGCTGTGCAATGCACACAGCACGAAAGGCTCTTGTATATTATATATACAACTGTAATCCAGAATAAATAGTACTGTCCTGACTCATAGGTGTATTTCAGCGTGGTTGTTGTTCGTTGTTATGGCTGGAGAATGCTTGCTTTTCATCCCTTCTGTCCCACCCTTGGACACATCAATGAACAGCAGCCTGGGAGTCCACAGTGTCAGCAATATCCTTTTGTATTCCTTCCGAAAATTCTGGTTAAGAAGCCCATAGATCACAGCATTGAGGCAGCTGTTAAAATAAGCCATAAAATAGCTCAGGACAAAAAGCCATTCTGGAATGTGTGGCTGCACTTTTGAAGGATTAATTGAAACAGCAAGGCCAATAAAGTTTAATGGTCCCCAGCACACAGCAAAAAGGACAAAAACCACAAACATAGTCAAGAAGTTTCGGATGTCAGCTGCCCTGAGTTTCTGCTTGCAGTCTTGTCTCACCCGGTGTTTGACTTGAATGACCAGAATCCAGATCCGTAGGTAGCAAAACGTCACGACGGAGAGCGGGACGATGAAGTGAACCACCACCACCGTGATGGTGTACGACGTGCTCACGGTCTGGGCAAAGGTGCAGGAGTAAATCCGGGGGTCATACTGCAAGGAGCCAACGAAGAGGTTTGGCACAATTGCCACCACCGTGAGTATCCAGGTCAGGCAGAGATAGCAGCAGGTGTTCTTCAGGTTGAAGAGCTTATCGTACCGAAGGCTGTGGCAGATGTAGCAGTAGCGGTTGATTGCGATCGCCGTGATGTTGAAAATGGACCCGATGACACTTAAGCCCATCAGGAACCCACTTATCTGGCAGTGAACATTTCCCATGGTCCATCCATTGTGGAAAATGGCACTTAAGATCAGAGGGTACGGATAAACTGCCACCACGAGGTCTGCAACGGACAAGCTGACAACAAAGATGTTGCCTACAACAAAGAAGAGACCATGAGAGGTTAGTGTGTGTCCAGATGGACAGCTTGCAACTCAAAACTCCTCTTTAGGCCTAAGTCTTCTGATGGGCTTCACTCTACTCTCCACTTGGAATTTGAAACCCTAGAAAATAAGACTTTGCTTTACTAGTGACAGCAATGGAGAGTGCATGATTGACCTGCATGCTCCTGCTTAGGAGCAATCTACACTAGAAGTGTTACCTTTAACTTGGCTACAGCTGGGAGTCAGGTACCTGTGATCCTCTAAGTTGTGTAGGAGAGAAGCATTTTGTTCTCCTTGTTATCCAGCCAGCTTGACTCTCTCTGACCATCATGGGCCAAAGGAGTGTGGTAGGAAGGTTATGTTTTCAGTGGTTTATTCATTTCACTGACAGCACTTGCACAGGAAAAGTCTCTTTTGTTCTTTTGCATGTAAGTAGTATGCATTCACTGGAATTTCTGCAATATTCATGCTAATGATTGTATGTTCTTCAAGGAACCATGTGCACACAGCCTTGATGTGCTTATCTTTTTTGGTATATTTTCCTGTCTTTTAATGTTTAAGTTATCCAGTTAAACATGGAAGGTCAGTTACTTCTTCACTGTCTGGTCCTGGGCAGAGAATGTGATTTAATAAGCTGCAGTCAGTCATCTCTGCAGAGTATGTGCTGCAGGTTGTTTATTTAGGCTCTACAACAGAGAGTTGAGAGTCTCAGCAAGTATAAAATAATTTAATTCCTTATTGAATTGAAAATGTTGCATTGTGTGGGACAACACCTGACAGCTCCACTGTGAGGAGCAGCCTCCAATGACCCGGGTGACCAGTGACCTTCTAACAGCACTTGCTGCTCATTTCATGAGTCTGGTGTATTTTTAGGGAGGCAAAAAGCCTTTCTGTTCAGTTTGTCAGCATAGAGGATTGCATTAAGAAAAGGACCCCGAGGTCTTGTGGGAACTGGTGTAAGTACAGGACTAGCTATAATGTTGAAAAGGACATCTGTCAATACCCAGCATTTGATGACCACAGAGAATGTAACTTCAGCAGGAGCTCAACACTTCAGTTAGAGGACAGCAAACTAGATAAAGTAGTTGGTTTTCCTAACTCTGCAACTTGCAGGTGTATCTGCAGCAGTGGGAAGGAAAATATTACTAGACAGCAGATAAATATACACATAGAGTATATATAGAGAATGAAGTTGTATGTAACACATTTAAGGTGTGAAGACCTCTGCCCCTATGTGATACAGGCAACATCCCAAACAACTGATCACACCTACACCTCCTCTTCAAACCCTCATATCCTGTTGTCTAGTGGAGTAGATATATATTTTTAAAATTACTAAAAAGAGGTATTTTTGTGTAGTATGCCTGAAAGGACTCTCTTACACCTCCATTCAACCAGGTCACAGGCTTTAGCATTTGGAAAAAACATGCAAGGGCTGTTGGAAAGCATGGCTGCATTGCCATTGCAGTTGGGTCGTGGCTATGTTTGTGCCAACAAAAACTACCAGGACAAGTCAACAGCTCATATCAGGCCACTTCATGCTGACTGGAAAGCAGTCCAGACTCGAGAATAGCCCCCGGCAGTGTGCAGCTGAGGCAGCTGACACAGACTGTCACTTAAAAATAAGTATTAGCAGAGGTCATGTGAAGTGCTAAAATCCTTTTAGAGAGAAATTTTACATACACAGGTTTACCACAGCACACAGCTTCTGCATCTGTTGGGCCTCAGTGCTGCTTTCTTGCTGATTTAATAACTTACTGAGAGCCTTTTAAAATGCAGTTACTGAACCTGGTCCCCCATATAATTAATTCCATTTATGCCCATTTTCAAGGGCAGAACCAACTGTGGCCAGGCTTAGTGAGGCTGCAGGCACCCCAGAGAGGGAATGCTCTTCTGCAGCAAAACTTTTATTCACTTATCAAAAACATGCACTTCAACAAAAGAAAATGTGCCCCCAGCACCAGAATTTCCTTTTGGAAACCTTTTCTAAAACAATTTTCAAGAGAGTGAAACAGAGACAGAGAGGTATCAGCAATCCAATTTAGGAGATTTCCAGAGGATACTGGAGACAGACGCCACTAATGGGACCACAACTCTCCCTCTTCACCAGACCTGTCCAACTTGGATACTCATTTGTACACAAGCAGCTAGAAAGCAAGTCTCTGCCTTTGCTGGGCATGAAAGAGACACATTCAACATCCAGTTCTGAACCAGGCAGAGCAGAACAAAGCTGAATATTCCCTACTTAAAACACCACATCTGTGGATTTAATCCAAAGCTTAGAAATATCATAGGGAAAATTATTAGTCTTACTTCACTGCCAGCTGCTGAAAGAAAGAAGCTGTTTCTGCTGGTCTTTCTTAACCAACTTGAATATTTGAAAGGAAGTAAAGATATAAGGCAAAAAATCTATAGAAATAATATTCACAGGATGACCTTTGTAGTTTGGATTCAATCCAAGAGCACAGTATTGTGTGTATTATTTTGACACAGCTTCATTGCAGGGAGAAAATGAGATGGTTTTATCAAGAAAAGAATCATCTCCTCCACTCAGGGAGCAAACCTGCCCTCCCCTGCTCTGCACCTTCAATGGTGCACTCTCACCTCTCCTACCCACCAGACCTATGGCCCAGGCAGGGTGCTGGGTGCCTGGAAATACAGCCAGAAAGGTTCACTCAGTACTGTTTCATAGAAACAAGCCCACCTCCCAGTTTATGTGGGAATGTGCTCAACTTCATCCTTCTCTTCTGGTGAGATGAAGGAGCAAGTCAGACCCATAAAACAGCAACTTGCAGGTCAGTCCTGGAAATCAGTGCATTTTTATGGCTGAATACTGAAAAGAAGGGGCACATTGCATGCCACCAAAGCAGAACATGCCCTTCAAAGTATGGGAACTGGCTATTGGCTAATTATTAAAACAGGAGTAATCTGAGTTAAACATTACTTTAGCCTTGCAGTCCCTGGTTTGCTATGAGACCACCATGTGCTGAGCCCTGCACCAACAGCTTGTGTCCTTCCCTCTGCAGGATGAGGTTGGATCCTCCTTCCCAAAGACACTGCAGAATGGGAAGCCATCTAATATATGGCTTTTAGAAAAGGTAAAGAGCAGTTTCCTGCCAATGATCTTCATTACTGCTTTCTTTTACATTTTCCCACTATAAAACAAAGGAGTCTGGTCCATAAATAATACCAGTAGGGCTTTATCTCCAATTTAAATTTATCTGCTTCTGCAACAATATTTTCAGATGTATCTTTTTTCTCTTTGTTGGCATGTGACTATATTTCCTTATTAGCTTTCACATTTTCCATCCCTTTTTTAATTTCTACTTATTATAAACTGGCTCATGTGCCACTGTCCTCCATCCCCCAGTTACAGAGTTTTACATGAATGAGGCAGGAATGGGGGAGAAAGGCAAGTGTAACACTGGTAATACAGATTTCTCCATATTTTCAGAGAAATTACAAATTCTTTTACATTACAGAAGTCCCACACAGAGCTACAGATTACAGAGGTACAACACACTGTTCACAGTGTAATCCACAATTGTTTAGGGGAAAAAAAACAACTCCAAGCAATCTGAAGCCCTGCTGAAGAGCAGATTGTAGGCATGCACAAGTGATGCAAAAGGGAATTTATCCCAGAACATCTTGTGCCCTAGCCCTTTTTTGAGTTCCCTCTCTGCTCCCATAAACCTATTTCTGCCCACTCCAGCAGTCTGCTCCTGTACTCCAGCAGTTCCCTGTCCCTACCTCTCATTCTGCCTGGATTATCCAACAACACAGGTTATCTGAGGACATATTGTCAAGCCCTGGTTCTAGGAAATGTGGAAATACCTCAATGAATTCTGCAAATCAATAAACCACATACGTAAAAGTCTTTACTGGCAGGCTGCCCCAAGAGCACGTGACTTTCATCCAAACAGGTATCGTTCTGTGGAGATTAACTGAGCATCACTGTACAAACACCAGGGTCACTGGCACTGCCTGCCTCAAGGGGCTGTTGGAAATCCCCTGGTGTCCAAGCTCCTGTTGCACAGATCCAGCCTCTCCCTATTTTTCCCACACAGCAGATGTGAGCTGTCCTTTACAGGCTGTGGTTTACATACCCTGAACCGAGACCCAGAGTTAAAAGGTGAGGGGGGGAGAAGGAGATAAAATATTTTTCTGAAAGTTGTCACTTTTTGTACATCTCAAAATGTTGAAACACCCAAACCTCTTGCTTCTTTGTTATTCATATGAAGTTCTTTTATATTCCTTGCTGAAGTATTACAGAACCACAAAACTGTTTCCTTCAGGTGAACAACATAGAGATGCTCAATACAACCTGAAGTTAGCGCTGTTACCTGTACACCCAGTGCTCAAACTGAATTGTCCTGAGCAACAGGATTTGCACCAAAGCAGAAACAGAGTTGTGTGGATCAACTTCTGCTCACCTGGAACAGTCCAGCTCCAAGTGAGCCTGCTGTCCCAGCTGCTGCTTCCTCCCCCCTCTGCTCAGGGATTCCAGTTGCTCCCAAATAGACAGTGCCCAGCACAGCATTTTGAGGCAAACAAAACCACACACAACAGCTTCAAAGGCAGCAAGTGAGAAGCTGACCCATGAGCACAATGGATGAGTGCCATGGGGCTCACTGCATGACTAGTCACCTTGCTGTTCCAGCCTCTTCCCAGCAGTGAGATCAGACCCTGGTGTCTGTCCAGCTTCTACCAGATTAACTGACAGCTGTAGAAAAGCAGGTCTAAAAACCTGTATTGATAAAAATGTGCAAAGATACACAATAACAGAATTACAGAATCAACTAGGTTGGAAAAGACCTTTAAGATCATCTAGTCCAACCTATGACCTAACATCTCCTCCAGGGCTGGTGACTCCACCATCTCTCTTGGCAGATGATTCCAGCAATCACTCTTTCAGTGAAGAATTTCTTTCTCACATCTAACCTAAACTTCCCTTGGTGTAGCTTAAAGCTGTGTCTTCTTGTTCTGTCTAGTT